TTAAGCATTTATTAACATTCATTTCAACTCGTAGAAGTTCAAAAATAGCTAAAATACCTTTTTTGACACTTTTAATCCCAAATATCTTGAAAACCAGAGCCAATTTAACAATTCTAAAGAAAAATTCTTAGATTACGCAAAATATTCTTAAATTTCAATGAATAGATAATTATATTTCACTTGTTATCAACCGCGGCAGCCATATCGCTCGCGTTTGCTGGAAGAACTTCATAACTAAAAAACGACTTTAAAATTTTTCAACAAGTATAGTTTTAAAATTAATAATCCAGAGAATATAGTTTTCATCAAACCTTACTTTGATCAATGAGGGATCGTTTTACTTTCATTTTTATGACGGCTATTCTGCATACGTAGCCCAAAAAAAAGTTCTTCCAACAAAGGAAACGACCTGTGGACCTTTGTAATTACTTTAGTGTATGTGTAGTTTATGTAATTTTTCACAATCATGGCTTTTTAGAGATGATTTAACAGATATAAGAAAGGTTTACAGATAAAGTTTTTTACGAAAACACATTCTGAGTTTTTTACACCACGATTTTAAAACGAAAATTATGTTTTGTACTGGCATGAGAAAGCAAATTATGTTAAAATAAAGTTGGAAAAATTGAGAACTGTATCGACATAGAATCGATGTGGGGGGATTATGCTGAAGTAATACATTTTTATTAATATTCTTTATACTTACTTACAATCCTGTGAAGTCTTACAGCTAAAGCATGCACACAAATAAAAACCAAAAACTAAAATATGACAGAAGCAAACTTCACTCTAATTCTACCATCAAAAGACACTGAACAGCTCAGAAAACTACATACATAACTAAAGTCGCATTATTTTACGCAAAACAGCGCAAGATTTTAGCTACGCCTGAAACTAACAAAAACAAGCATCAAGAATAACAACAACCATACTCAAATATCATTCGAGTCGAAAAGAGATATGTAATGTAGTACACACATATGTACATACATATATGTGGCTTGATGACTACACTATAATTCAGCATAAGAAAATTTCCACTCTGCATTTGTTTTCTCTCTTTCTTTCTTAAAAAAATGAATCTTACCAAAATACGCTTTTTGAGCAAATAAAAAATAAATATGATGCCAAGAAACAAACACACACACACACCCAATTTTTGTAGTTGTTGTTTTTTTTCACTATTTACCTGGCAAATTGTTAACATATCCGCCATCCAGCAGGAGATGCCCGTCTTTTGGATCGCACAATGGCGGCATATAGCCGCTGAGCGACATAGATGAACGTATATAACGCCAAAGAGATCCTGTTTAATTTAAGTGTAACGGTATAATGTGTGTGCGTAAAATTTTTTAGATGAATTCGAGTTTATTGGAGCGAACGTATGGATGCTTAGTGGGGGGATTGGGATAATAGTATATGTATAAGATGGCGATGCTAAAATAATATATTTTTTTCTTAAATTTTACGCCAAAATTAGTTCATACAGCCATTAAAGGACATCACATCAAGACATTAATTGAATTTGTTTTTAAACAATAAAAAAAGTGATTATGTATTTTATTATGTGGATTGCTTTTAATGTCAACCAAATATTATAAGTCGCTTTTAAATTAAATATTTTCGAAATATGTATGTATGTATATGTGATGAAGGTAACAGCTTCTCTTTACCGAAAAATTGTGTTACAAAAATTCCAAATATCCACGTAAATAATTAGTTCCTAATGTTTGGTAATCATAAAATGCTACAGCTATTCAGTATTATCGACAAATAAATTTACCAGTTACAGACTCGGTAGATACAATTTAGTGTAGTTGAGTTTTTTTTTTACTAAGGCTTGACCAATTTTCACTAATTTACGCACATACATACACATACGTATATGTATGTATTAGGGAGGAACCCATTTAGTTTGTTCTTCGTACAAAATAAAGACATTCACGAACATTTCAACTAAAAAAATAAGAGGTCCCAACCAGGGTTTGATTTTTTGTTTTTAAATCACAAAAATTCGACAAAAGTTTGACTTGAAAGCTGATAAATTTGGCATATTATTCAAATATGTTCATATACATTCCTAAAATCGCTGAGTAAAAAAAAAAAATTAATTCTTTAAAATCCTGGTAGCGACCCCTTAAAAATTTGTTCAAAATGTTGTGTTTTATATGTAGAACCAAAATAAATGGATGCCACATGACGTTGATATTTTAATGACCGCCCTATTATGAATACATATATGTACGTATCGCTCATTTCATTTCAATAGTGACATAATCCAAAAAAATATAAATTTTTAGTTGAGTATGCAGAGAGTACCGCTACATCTTCTTCTATGTTGTGTAAAAATTTCATAGCTGTATCGATTACTAGTGCCTCACTAGAAAAAAATATGTATTCATTTTTACTATGGGAGTAATAACTGTATATCGACTGCTGAGTGGAAGATCGGTTCAAAAACGCCCTATCTCACTTCAAAATGAAAATGTACTGACATAGGGCGTTTTTGAATCGGCAGCTGAGATAGGGCGTTTTTCGAAACGAATTCTGAAATAGGGCGTTCTTTAACCAAATTTTGAAAAGTTGTTTGAGATAGAGTGTTTTCGACCTGGCTGCCGAAATAGGTCGAATCTTCCACTCAGCAGTCGATATGTGAATTGAAAACTTTAGAGCCGTTTTTCCCGATTTTGTTTTTTTTTTTTTTTAAGTAAATAAGCGACGTGTAATTATGTTACTTCTTACGACATATGGTTCAACCAGCCACCAACGTATCAACATATCAAATTGCTGCTGATAGAGAGAGGCAGAAGCAACGGCAACGTCACCGTCAAGCGGTAGTAAGTTTTCGTTAACACGAAAATCCCATAAGGTAGGTTGTATCAGCCGATATGGTCTACGATTTTACGTCGGTGGCTGGTTGAGCTCATAGCCTGTTCTTCAAAGCCATAATGTAATAATAAAAGGTGTCGTCAATAACTTAACCTTACTTTTTCGGGACGCCTATGCCGGCAACGCATTATAAGGTAGTAGAAAATGTACTAATTATTTCCTAATTTTACCCATTTGTGCATATTACTTCAAAACAACTACATATATAGTTACGGAGTTTCAAGTATGAATATGTGTTTTTGTTAAGCTCCACACTAATAGGACTAAAAAAAAAAAGGAATCGCAAAATGAGGCAATTTCCTAGAAGGCTTGTAATGATTTTTTTAAATAGATTAAAACACATAAATACTACAAATATCATTGAATTCTTTATTTTAGCAAGTAATCACTTTAGTGCATCAACTGTTCATTTAACTTAATACTATGATAATGTAGCAAAAGTTATTTAATATTAAAAATGCCTTTCCATACGATTTTTGTTTAAGTCTTTGGTAACCACGATATCTTTTATTTACTAACATTTTGTTGACAAAAATTTGACAAATCCAGCAATTTTAATTATTAATGATGTTATAAAAGCACTAATTTCTAAAAAAAAAATCGCGATGAAACGAGTTACTAAAATGTAGTATTTTAGATACTATTTTCCTAAATAATAGTAGTATATAAAGGAGAATAGGCAACACTGCAAATAAGCGTCTCGAACTTGTCAAAATTACAACAAACACGTCGCTACTGACGATACCTTTTATTATTACACCATGCCTCATAGCAGTGTTGGGCGTTAATCAATTAATTTTTCAATTATCTTGTTAATTGTTTAAAAAAGTTATTAACAATTAATTGTTAAATGCTACCGTACAATTTAATACGATTTTTTCTATTAAATGAATCAAAAGCAGCATTTTTTAAAAACATCCTCAATTTAGAAAATATTCTTAAACATTTTTTAAAATTATTATTTTTTTTTAATTTAATATGAAAACTGAGTATGTTTACAAGTCATGCAAAACTATGTATGTACATGTATCGATAAATATTAATCTACTTTACTAGGATTTTGCATACAAAATGGCGGCATTTTATATTTATTTTTTTTTACTATTTCTCGAAGGAAAGCTTTCCTTTTCACTGTACGTGAAGTTCCAACGGCTTATCAATGCGTTATGCTAATATAACAAGATATAGGCATACAACAGAACTATGACGTATAAAATATCGGAATGTAAAAATCTCAGAATATGTCAAACATGAAAATCTTATATAAAGTGAGTTCTGCCAATTTTTCACGATTGAAACATAAGTAGTCGCACTTAGGTCTTCTGGTTTAAATAAGATGGTGGGATAAAATTTTACATCAAATATATATTTTTTTTAACGCAAAAAAGACTTTGCAATAAAAACTTTAAAGAAAAATAATAACCGCATACAAACACAAAAATTAAAATTAAGAAAAAAAATTATAAAGAAATGGGAAACGCCAGCGCTCACATCCTACTTGTGTTTGCGAAAGCCACTAGAAACTTTCATAAATATTTATATTCTATTTGTGTTTAGCATGAAATGATGGTTAAAGAGGGGAAGCGCGCGTATGTAGAAGCAAAATCAACTTACCATTTGTGTGTATGCGATGGCAGCTTGCGGTAATATCAGTCGTTAGTGTAAAATACGGAATCCATAAATCCTCAATGGCCACATCACCGAAGGTATCACGAATGGTTTTGTTGAATTCACGTCCAGAGAACATCGATGTAATTGGATAAGTGAGATCGAGCAATTGCAGGAACCATTTTGTCATTTTCTGCAAAAAAAAAAATGCAATGCAAAGCAAAAGTAAGTTAATTAGTTTAATTATAATTGTTTTTAATTGTTGCAGCAACTACACACCTTTGACCATTCCCGAGCCTTCTGTGTAACGGCTGTTACATTACGGTCCGAACACCAGAGTGCACCCATTAGCGCGCCAATGCTAACACCTCCCACCATATCTACCGGTATACCAGCTTCTTGTATAGCCTTTAACATACCGATATGTGCAGCACCGCGTGCACCGCCGCCACCTAAAACTAACCCGATTGAGTTACCAGTCAGCCAACGTGCCAGGCGCGAACAATCCGAATGCATATTTGGCTCGGACATTAATACACGGCTGTACAGATCGTTCTGTGAGATATAAAAAAAAATTTGATTGTACATTTTTTTGTATGTAAATAAATCTGTTGATGCTAGCAGTTTCACTTACAATGCGATATTGACTTTTGCGCGTGAACATGCGCTTAGGGCACTGCAAATGGTGATGTTTGGTGACCCAGGGCCTGACATTCAGCCATTGCAGTGTATTTTTCGGTTTCGCATTAATCGACTCGTGATAAAGCAGTACGAGCTCCTTTTGTGTGCGCATTGCCAAACGATCGATTTCTCGTTCAAATTTACCAACGATTGGCGCATGATCACCAAGTCCCACGATAAGTACGACGTCCGCTTGGCGCATGCAACGTTGTGTCCAAGCGCTGAGAGAAGAGTCACACTGATATAGAGTGATGGTATTGCGATCTTCCTGCTGCGCTAGCCAAGAGGTCATACGATATTCGTTGCTGGGTTCGAATATGTGCATGCCGAGCTGTTTGCGAACCACTTCGGATGTTAGACG